ATAACCCAGAAGCAGTGCGCTGAACTTGCATGCCGAAAAAATGATGAAGTTCGCCTAAATCCTTCATAGAAAACTCACGTTGTAGGGCTGCAATAATGCGATGACGCAAGTCTAGAGAAGAAGTTGTCAGCACAATATCATCCATATACAGCGGAAGATAAGCAGTCTAAGAGCCACGACGGTATACAAAGAGTGATGTATCTGTCTTGGCTTCCACAAAACCCAACTGAAGAAGGAAACTGGCGAAACAACTGTACCATGCACGTGGCGCCTGTTTGAGTCCATACAGAGAGTGATTCAGACGACACACAACCTGAAGGCTGAGCGCAATACACTGTCCCTGAGAGATGCCCATGAAGAAAAGCATTCTTCACATCGAGCTGGTGTACCGGCCACTTGCGAGAAACAACCAGAGACAGAATAGTCTAGACGGTAGCGGGCTTCACAACAGGGCTAAAAGTTTCATCATAGTCAATGCCAGGGCACCGAGTAAAGCCACGAAGAACCCAGCGCGCCTTGTAGCGCTCGAGAGAACCATCTGCCTTGAATTTGTGCTTGAAGACCCACTTGCCAGTCACCACATTGGATCTAGATGGGCGTGGTACAAGATCCCAAGTGTGGTTGGAAAGCAGTGCTGAAAACTCATCCTGCATAGCGGCACGCCAATTTGGATCAGCAAGTGCGGCGCGATAAGTCCACGAAAGAGGCGATAGGGAAACCGCTTGAAGAGTGACCGGTTGTCGGAAACTAGCCTTCCCACGTGTCCGCATGGCATGCTGGTTAGCCACAGGGACAATGGGAACCGCTCCGGCGAGGAGGCAAATAGGAGGAACTGGTGGTGATGGTGGTGCAGCGACCGGAGACGCAGTAGCTGGAGCGACTGGCGGCGTAGAAGCAGATCGCGGACGTCGGCTGTACGTCAGCCGAACCGGAGGGACCGGCGCCAGGACAGCCAAATCGGGCGGAGGAGGCTGTGGGCGTCGGTGGTAGACGAGGCCAGCCCAGCACTGAAAGCCAGGCAGTGGTCCGGCTAGGGTGGGCGCGACATGATCGGCTGGAGGTGGTGAGCAGCCGGCCATCAGGCACCCTGGGGAGGTGCTGCCGGCCGCTAGGTGCCGCGATGGGGAGCTACTACCAGCGATCGGGGGAGCAGCCAGGCCAGCTGCTGGTGACGACGAGGCAGCTGCAGGCGAGACCTGGCCGACTGGCAGGCCACCGGAGTCCAAGGGAGCAGCAATGACCCAAGGGGCGCTGCTCCCTGGAAGAAGGGCGGCACATGGCTGTGCGGAGTCACCGGGAGTGCCTGCAAGTAAAAAAAATGACAGCGCTGGGGGAGCCATCACAGGGTCAGTGGAGCTCAAAAACTCAAAATCCTGGGGTGAGGGACGACCAGGATCCTCAGAGAACGGGAAGGATGCCTCATCAAAGCCCACATGCCGGGAGATGATGATCAGGTTGGATGACCGGTCGAGGCAACAATAACCTTTGTGATGAGGGGAATACCTGAGAAAGACACACAAGGAAGATCGAGGGGCGAGTTTGTGGGGAGTAGTGGCGGAGAGATTGGGGTAGCAGCGACACCCGAAGACACGGAGGTGGTCATAAGAGGGTGGAGACCCGTAGAGCACCATGTGTGGGGTGGAGAAGTTGAGTGTCTTGGTGGGAAGAATGTTAAGGAGAAGGGTTGCGGTGGAAAGAGCCTCAACCCAATAGGCTAGGGGACACTGGCCTGAAACAGGAGGGAACGAACAACATTATTGATGGTACGAATAATGCGTTCAGCTTTACCGTTTTGAGGCGAGGTATAAGGACAGGACATCCGGAGCTGGATGCCGTGGGAGAGGAAGAAGGCACGGGAAGTATGATTGTCGAACTCGTGTCCATTATCGCATTGAATACCCTGAATGGGGACACCAAACTGCGTAGCCACATAGGCAAAGAAATTAGACAGGGTAGGAAAGGTGTCAGACTTTAGCCGAAGCGGAAAAGTCCAGAGATAATGCGAAAAATCATCAAGTATGACAAGATAATACTTGCAACCAGAAACACTAGGTATAGGTGACGTCCACAAATCACAATGTATTAACTGAAAATTATGAGTGGTTCTGGAAGAGGACGCATGAAAGGGTAAATGAGTATGACGACCCAGCATGACACAATGTTTGGCTAGCACTATTATTACATGGAATAGCAGATGACTGTTCTAGCTTAGACAAAACTTCATGGCCAGGATGACCAAGACGCTGGTGCCAAAGTGAAGGGTTGGTAGTGGTGAGGAGAGCAGACGCAGACTCCAGGAACTACAGCGGATAGAGAGGACCAGAGCTGTCACACCTGAGATCTCTCTCCGAGAGGGAAGATCCTTCACAGAACAACCAAAAGGGTCAAACTCTACAGAACAATTGTTGTCAGAGGTAAACTGGCGTACTAAAACAAGGTTCTTAATAAGGCCAGGTGAAACAAGGATATTATTAAGACGAAGATTATGTGGAAAAGATGTCACGCCAGTGGAGGTAACAGGAAGAAGGTTCCCATTACCGACAACAATATGGGATGGAGATGAAGTATATGGAGGGGAAGGCACGGTGATTATACCGACGTCTGAAGTCATGTGGTTGGAGGCGCCAGAGTCGAAGTACCAGTTGCTCGATGTAGGCTGCTGGAGTGACATGGTCTGAAAGTTCGCGACAAGGCTGGAAGTGTCCCAGCCGGGTGGCGCAATGGCTAGGCTGTATAGACCAGCCGGAGGAAGCACCCACTGCTGGACGCTAGGATTGACACCCTAGCCTTGCTGAGCCCCAGTCAGAAGCGCCCGAGGGAGCTGCTGCGGTCCATCGCCCCCTATTTGCACACACCGGCCGAAGTGTGTCTTGTGTGTGTGGCGGCGTCGAGGGCCGAGGTTCAGGGCACATGTTGATGGATCCGGTCCATGGCTAATGAAGATTAGGCCATCGCTGCTGCTGCTTCTTGGGCGTCGCTGCCGTTGGGGAAATATTTGTTGAGTTGTTGCGCTGCTTCGCCCGCCAGACTTGTTGCGCTTGCTTGCCTCTACCTCCTTGCTCTTCTTTGGTGGAGGCTGGCAGCTTGTTGTTGGGGAGCGGGGTGGTGGAGTGACGGACACGGGCGTGGGCTCCCGAGCGCTGCCGGAGGTGGCAGTCAGGGCCGTAGCCAAAGGAGGCGGAGCAGACTCTGCCATAGTGAGTTCCTCCAGGATCAAATCATTGCGGGCCTGCAGAAAAGTAGGAAACGGACGTCCGTGGCGAAGGTGAAGCCCAATGGCTTCAAAACGGCCATTGAGACCGTGCAGGAGATTGAGGACAAGAGTCCTCTCATTGACGGGCTCACCGAGGTCGCGGAGGGCGTCTGCCATGCCCTTGACTTTCCGGCAGTACGCAGTGATGTCGAGGTCGCCTTGCTTGAAGTTGCGGAAGGCGGCGTCGAGGTGGAGAGCACGAGTTTCGTGATTGCCGTGGAACTGTGACTCGATGGCGAGCCAGGAGGCGCGGGCGGTGGTGCCGAGCTCGATCACGACCTTAGCGAGGGCGTCGGTGATGGTGCCGGTGATCCAAGTTTGCACGACGCAGTCCATGCGCGCCCAATCCGGAGAGTTGGGGCCGGCAGCGTCGGAGAGGACATGGCTCTCCATGGAGTAGCGGCCGACGACGAGGAGGAATGACTGACGCCAGCGGCCATAGAAGGCGGAGGCGACGTCGAGGACAAGCGGGACGAGCAGTCGGATGTTCTGCACGGCCACAGCCTGGGCGTGCAGGTTGAGGAGGACCGCGGCCTCGTGCTGAAGCAGAACGGCGCGAAGATGGGGATCGCCGCCGTTGGCAGAGGCGAAATCCTCAGCATCCTCGACGTCGTCTTCCAGAGGCGGAGCGGCCGCAGCGTGCTCCTGAGCTGCGCGGTCAAGGGCGGCCTGAAGTCACGAGCGGCCTGAGCCATGCGGGCGCGCTTCTCCTTGGCGAGTTGAGCCGCAGCGGCCTGCTCGGCCGCGCGGGCGCGCGCCTCCGTGGACTGAAAGGCAGCGGCGGCAGTGGCCTGCTCGGCCGCGCGGACGTGCGTCTCCGTGGCCTGGAGGGTAGCGGCAACGGCGGGGTCGGCCTGCGCGGGCGCGCTCCTCCTTGGACTCGGCAGTAGCGGCATCGGAATCGACGACAGAAGCAGCAGAGGAAGCGGTGGTGGGGGTGGCGCCGGCCATGGCAGGGAGGCGGCGGGCGCACGCAAGGGAGGCGACAGCCAGGAAAGGAAGGGGAAAAAAACTAAGCTCATGATACCATGAAAGCAATAAGGATTACGTGAAATAATAGATTGATTGATTGGAGAGACCTATGTACATATATATATATATATATATATATATATATATGGGAGAGGAGACCTCGTGGTTTATAGAAACAGGACCAAACCGAGATCTCCTCGTATCTCTCTAACCAAATAGAGGACCGGCCGACTATACCAAGGCCCAGGCCCATATACACAAGCATATATACATTTACAGTCTAACATCCATCACTATGACTGATATACGCTAATTGCTATGATGAAGAATGCATTTTTGATAATATATGCTTGATGGTAAGGATCTTGTTACAAACTTCATCCATTCCTGGTCGTTCTTTTGGTGATGCCATGGAGCAGGACAATCCTATTTTAACAAATGGAAGGATGCAGTTCTGCATCACTTTGGCTGCATTGATGCTGTCTTGTACCATGACGGGATTGACAATCTCGTAGATATTATTTGGAAATGATTGACCGACAAAATCTTGCAGGCTTATACCATCCTTTAATTTCTCGTCAGTCGGACGATACCCTGTTAGCATTTCTAGCAGGAGCACTCCAAAACTATAAACGTCACCCTTGGTTGATATCTCTCTGCTCATGCCATACTCTGCATGAATGTTTGCAGACATAGTAAAGTTAGAATAATTCACTTTTTGCCGATACTATAAAGAACAAACGGAATAAACTACTTAGATATAAGCTCATCTCACCTGGTGGGATGTATCCAATGGATCCTTTCATGCAAGCCAAACTTGTTGAACTATCTTGAAATGCATCTGATCTAGCATATAATATCCTTGCTAAGCCAAAGTCGCTGACATATGCAGCCATGTCAAGGTCCAAAAGAATATTACTTGGCTTCAAATCGCAGTGTATTAGTGGATATGCACATTGGTTATGAAGGTAATCCAAAGCACATGCTACATCCAATGCTACATTGATTCTTTGAAAGAAAGTCAGAGTCTTTGTTTTACTGTGTTCATGGACCCTCGGATGTAACCACATATCCAGGTTCCCATTCAGCATGTATGGGTAGACTATGGCCTTGAAGTCTGCTCCAGTTGGATCCACTGAGGAGCATAGAGTAATTATTTTAACAAGATTTCGGTGGCGGATATTTCTGAGGGCTTCACACTCTGCAAGGAAGCTCCTATGTGCCCCATATGTGCTGAGGTTAAAAATCTTGATAGCCACTTGATCTTCCTCAAGCTTCAGCTTGCCCTTATAAACCATTCCAAATGAACCAGAGCCAATTAAGTTAGCAGAAGAGAACATATCTGTTGCCTTTTCAATATCTTTATATGTTATGTTTTCCTTGTGCTCTTTGTGGTGCTGCAAATATTTCTTTACTTGAATTTTCTTCCTCCAAAAGAATGTCACGAGACAGAAGCAAGTGATTATAACAACAGCAACAATTGGTATTACTATCTCTATGACTTGTACCAGTGACGTGTGTTTCCTTGTCCTGTTATCCATTGCTGGACAAAGAGACACATCTCCTGTCAGAACTCTTGTACACAGTTCATCATTTCCTTCAATTGAAACTGCACTAGCATTGCCAAAAATACCACCACTTGGAACTGCTCCACTAAAACTGTTGAAGGATAAATTGAGTTGATGCAGAGAACTCAAGTTTTCGAAGAAATCTGGGATGTTTCCAGACAATCTGTTCTTAGAAATGTCAATCTCCTCGATGCTTCTCAAATTCACAAAAGTCTGTGGAATGCTTCCTTCAAAGAAGTTGTCTCGCATCTCTAGATACTCAAGAGCCACACACATGCCAATAGCGGATGGAATGTAGCCAGACAACATGTTGTTTGTGATGCTAAGTTTTTCCAGATTAATGAGATTGCCAACTTCCTCTGGTATTCCTCCAGTCAAGTAATTATTTGACAAGTCAAATTCTTCAGAAAGCGAAGAAATTTTGAAGATTCTACTTGGTATAGTCCCATTTAGCGAGTTGTGTGCAAGATTGAGTATTTGAAGTTGAGTGCAACTTCCTATACTTGCAGGTATTCTTCCACTCAAGTTGTTTCCATCCAATTTAATATCAGTCAGCTGAACAAGATTACCTATAATTTCAGGGATTGGGCCTGAGAGTCTATTTTGTGCAAATGCTAGAACGACCAAGTCGTGCAAGTTTCCAATTGTTGGTGGTATATTTCCAGTGAACATATTGTAATCCATGAATAGAATACTGAGGCTCCTCAGATTACCTATCTCTTGTGGTATAGGCCCAGAAATTCTGTTGTTCCTTAGCCACAGGAACTGGATATTACTGGAAAGGTTTCCAATGGAACTTGGCAGATTCCCTTGGAGGTTGTTGCCATCAAGCATCAGTTGGGTCAGTTTGGAGCAATTTGAGAGTGAAGAGACAAATTCCCAGTCACCTGCTTCTAGCATGTTGTATGACACATCTAGTACCTCCAGATTTGGCAATGACCCAAAGTACGGCATGAGCCCTGTTAGCCTATTGTCTGCTAGGTAAAGCCACTGTAGTTGGTATGCAACAAGGAGAGAAAATGGGATTGGGCCAGCAAACTTGTTTGCCGAGAGGATTAATCCCTGAATGTTTGGGAGCGTGTAGCCAATGTTGGAGGGCAATCTTCCAACAAGCGAGTTATTTGCCACAGCAAGATCTGTTAGGGAGGACATGTTGAAGAGAGATTGTGGAAATGGACCCGACAAGTTGTTCACATTCAAGTTCAGTATTTCTAGTGTTGAAATATAACCTAGGCTCTCCGGTATGCTCCCAACTAAATTGTTATATTGAATGCGTAGAGTAAGTAGGGAGGAAAGGTTCCCTAGTGAGGGATGGATTGTTCCCGAAAGATAGTTCTCCCCTAAATGGAGGTGTTCAACAGGGGGAGAGTTGGCAGTGATAGGTGGTATAGAGCCAGAAAAGCTGTTCTTTTGGAGGCAAATGGCAATAAGTGATGAGGTATTGAAGAGAACCTTAGGGAGCTCTCCACTAAGATTGTTGCTCATGAGGCGAAGAACTTGTATTGTTGAACTACTCGCTAAGAGCTCTGGGATCTCCCCAGCGAGTCCATTTCTCCCAAGATCAACATATCTGAGAGAAAGGCTGGTGCCCAAAGCTGGCGGTATGTTGCCACTAAGCCTATTGCTAGCAAGATTTAGCATTCGCAGCTCCGGAAGAGTTCCAAAAGCAGAGGGAATGCTCCCTTGGAGCTGATTGTTGCTGAGGTTAATCTCCTGAAGATGCATGCACTGACTAAGGCTAGGTGGGATCTCACCATGGAGGGAATTGTTCCACAATCCTAGGAATTGAAGTTGGGTACACAAAGAGAGCTCAGATGGGATAGTACCTTCTAAAGAGTTCATGCTGAGGTTCAGGTTGCTGAGCCTGCTGAGGAGGCCGAGCTCTGACGATATGCCACCATGGAAGCTGTTGTTTGACAGTTGCAACTTTGCAAGAGAGCTGAGGTTGCCAATACAAGGTGACAAGGAGCCTGTGATGCCTTCTGATGCAAGGTCCACAGCAATGACACGGAGAGGAGGCGGCTGTGCGCTGCATGTGACCCCATGCCAGTTGCAGAGTTCCATAGATTCGTTACTCCATGAGGCTAAAAATCCAGGTGGACCTGAGAGCTGAGACTTGAAGCAGAGAAGAGCTTGTCGATCATCTTCGCTCTCATCACAGATGTCTAGTGGCAGGGAGCAACAGAAAATGAGGAAACAGAGAAGCCAAGCAACATTGGGTGACAAGACTCCCAAAGAGGCCATTGCTGTTAGTTACAGCTAGGAGATGCAAATACGATGTTTAATATGGCACAAGATTTTCCTCAAAAATAAAATGGCACAAGAGTAGATAATCACTCAGGATGAAGCACAGTCCTATTTGAAGATATACTGGGAAGCTGAAAGCTGTATGAATGCTTGCGTTTGGACTTCAGCTTTGTGGGCGTTGCTTCAAGATACTTGCTACCTTTTCTGCTTGGCCCAATTGAAGCAAGTTGTTGGCTTGGACTTGGAGTCGACTTGTAGCAATGCAAGTTGTTATCTGGGAGACGTCTTGCAACTTGCTTGGAAGGTTGTACAAATGAGGTCGAAAGATGCACTGAAACTGGACTGAAAAGTTGAGGAAGGGACTGAACAGTTTCCAATAAAAACGGAAGAGTCGGCATCTATACGGAGGCGTGATGAGTACGCGGCGCCCTTGCTCTTTTGTGTGGGAAGACACTCTCTCGCGGGGAATAGTAAATGAAATAAATTCAGGCCTGGTTTAGATGCAAAGAAATAATAGTTAGCTGGATACAAACAGGTGTAGCTAATAGAAGGAAATAATAGTTAGCGGGATGCAAACAGATATATCTAATAGTTTAGCTAATTATTAGCTGAATAACCAACTAATAACTATTTCACTAGTTAGACCAAACTAGTTAATAGCAGGCTAGTAACTAATATTAACTATGACGTCTTAGCTAATTAATCATTATAAGCTAATGGATCAAACAGATCCTAAGATAGTCTAGATTATATAGGGGAAGCTTTGCGCAAACCGCGCTCTTACTAACATCATGAATGAAATCCATATCGCCAAAACTTGCATAACACATCACTTTTTACAGAAACCGATGTGTGCTGGTAAATATTCATTTTGTTATCCTTGATATTGCCACAACTTGGGTTTTTTTCGAACACGTTTACTGACGTGTGTTTCATTGAGAGAGGATAAGGCCGAAAGAACGATTTACATGACGCAGCTATGGGAGATTCCATAACGCAGATTACACAACCACGGAGATAGTGGTTAGGAACCTAAAAAATAATAGAAAAAGAAGCGTTAAGGAGAGGGTCCTCCGCTACAACCATAACCGATTGGACCTGCAAGAAAAGCTAACAATGCAAAGGCTGCCAACAAAGTAAATGTAGCTGCGGTGGCAAAGCATCCACTGAAAACAGACGGTGGCCAAGCATCCGCCCAAGCAAGAACAACCAGCAAAACGGCGGCAAAGCACCCGCCAGAGACGACACGGAGCGTCAAAGCATCCGTAAGAGAGTGGACGGGCCATCACGCTCACTGCAACAAACCATCTGGGTTTAGGTCTTCTTTTTGCTTGCCAGGATCCATTAACAGGGGTTTCATAGGGAGGTATTTTTTCCAGAAAGTTATCAAGTTATAGTAGAATTACCAACCGGACTGGCTTTCTCCAAGAGAGGGTTTTGTCTTTTCCGCTTCCTCGCGCAAAGAAAAAAAAATAGAATCCCTTCTACGGCTCATCCCCCTATCTTCTCTTCGAGCTACCGCACTCACAAGGGCTTACCGGGGGGATACCGAAGCAACATCGACGCCAAAGCATCTGCCAGAGCAGCATGGATGAGAAAGTATCCATCAAGGAAAAGTGGTAGTGGCAAAGGATCTGCTACGGAAAAAAAACCAAACGATTGCGACAACACCAAGCATGTCAGCTGGATAGACCATTCAAAGAGAAGCTTGAAGCACACAGGCACAATGCAGCAAGGAACAACTCCGGCGAGAGAAACAGAAGATGAGCAGAGGCACGACCACAGAGGCGCGATCATAGGAGTGCTGCAACGATACCTTCACGAAGGGAAGCGACATCCGCGGACGCCACCATTGTTGGAAAGGGCTTTCGCACCATGGCCTACCACAGCGGCACGCGCAAGGAATAGAATCTTCAACGATAACTTGGTTAAAAAAAACTTTTGACTTTTCAGGGTTCAAACGTTAAGAAAAACTATTGACTTTTCAGGGTTCAGACTGAGACTGAGACAGCGCGAGATGCCCACCTGGTGGTATAAACGCATACCTTCTCTGAAGAAGAAAATAAATATATGAACGCACGCCGTTCTTCGAGTCGTCGCCTGTCTCTGACCTCTAAACGCATAAATACCCATACCCTTGCCGGGACTGCTGCCACGCTCGGAACCGCCCTTCAACTTGGTGCTCTGCTGGGACTCGAGCGAAAGACGATGGCCCTTCGACTGGCCCTGAGGCAGCCACCGCTTTCCTGCAACCTGGTGCTCTGCATAGAGAGAATGGCGTTCGCTAGCAGCTGCAGCTCTCCCACCGCCAATCCCCCAGCTGCTGCTGCTCCAAGCAATAACGACCCTCCGGCTGACGCCGCCACTAATCCTCCAGCTCCTCCGCCCGTTGAGGCTCCGACCGCTCCATGTCCATGCCCAGCCGATGGTAGTTGTACTGGTACACATGCTCCAGAAGGTGAGAAGGCCGGCGGAGATGGTGAGTTCAGACTCCTTCAGAATTCTGCTTACGGCCAACAACTACAGTTTTGCCATTGTTGCTAGCGTATTCGAAATTGCACGCACAACGATTAGTATATTTGGCGAATTCCAAATTGCACTGACCACCTACTTCTTCTCGTTTTTGCGCGCAGTTCCTCCAGCTGATCCAAGTCACAGAGGTCCACCAATAACGCACGGTTATTACACGCCGACGCACCAGCCGCATGATCCCTGACGTGGGGCTCAAAAGCTCATGTTGTCGTGAGGAAGACACCCCCGGGAGGCCAGGAAGGGAGGAAACCCATGGATCGGAACGAGCAGCACAAATCTGGACAGTTGGCAGCGCCTAGGGTGCAATTACCAGTTCGTTATCCTACAGGAGCGGAGCGGGTGGAAAACGTGGGGCTTTTTTTTTCATCGTCCTTCTTTTTCTCTTTACTACGAATATGCACGTGCGTTGCACCGGGATCGTATTTTTTTTTGTTACTGAACCTCATTATTACTCGGACGTAGACATGTGAGCTCCGAGAATTTCATATTAGACGTGGACACGTGGATCCGTTCTTTGTATTGAAACCAAGTAGGATGCGGACGCGTGTGCTCCGAGTAGAGGATGATTCGTATCGGACGTGGATACATGAGCGAGATTTGATATCACCGGATAGATGATTACTTTAGAATATTTTTAGGTGTATAATATAATATAGACTAGATATGTGCCCGTGCGTTGCACGAAGTAGATAATGATGTTACCGTCTTTTTCAATTTAGAGAAGAGATTCACTCAACTTTTATAAAATTTATTACCTGTATCTAAAATCACATAAATATACTATTCTCCCAATTTAGTTGGTAAATTTTAAGCTAAATCTCGTAGTTTTAAATGGCAAGATCAGAAAATCGTCCGCGGAGGTGCTGGATGTGTATGTGTGTGTTCATAAGAGATGAGTGCACGAACATGTATGAGGGTCTGTGTTGTACTGTGTTTCAAAAATTAACAAGATATTTCATCCATGTGTAGTATATTTGAAAAAAAAAACATGTTTTTTCATGTCAGCTGAGAAATTTAATTTATATGAAATTGCAAAGGTCGATCACATCTACCGTTTTATAGCTTATTACTTTTTTATGTAAGACCATTAATTTTCATACCGGAACAATTGATACGATCATTTTTTATAGGGCAAAGCCTTCTTAATTTAGCAATGAATTTAGATTAGTTATTTCATCGTTGTAGTGTTGTATATATAGAGTCCGATTGGCCAGAGACCGAGCCATTGTCTCGCGCCGGCCACCATCCCACTCGGAGTTTGCGGACGTGCACAGGAAGGCCTCGAGTCGGAGCTTGCGGGGGGCGCGCACACGAAGCCTCTGCCTGTGGACAAAACCTGGCTTTTTAGGTGGTAATAGATTATATATAAGAGAGCTCGGCCCAATAGTAGGGAGTTTCAGCCCATTTGCGTTGAAATGATTCATTTCCTTTTCTTTTGTTGAATTGCTTTTTTCGAATTTTTGAACTGCTTGTTGAATCAAAACCGACAACAAACAAATCAAAAGTTTCATGCAAGCAAGCAAGTTTTAAAAAAATGTCAAAACATATCTTGACTCCTGGGCAGGGGTGGATCTAGAATTTTAATAATGGACATTCAAACTTGAGACGTATAACAACAAAAAAAAGTTAGACAAAACCAATGGATATTCAAACTCTTTTCTTTTGTCTGGTCGTCCACCAATCCTTCCTGGTCCTCCTCTCTTTGGGGCTGATTGGTTGCTCCGGGGTAGGGGATCTGGGATGGAGGGTCGGTCTTGGGTGGTGTGAAGCAGGTTGAAACCATGCAACTAGGTGTGTTTGGTTGCAACTTTAGGAGCAGTCAGTTTGTTTGGTTGCTAGGTTGCACCAATTTGAGAAATGAGCTGATCCTGCTAGTTGTGTTTTGGTTTGGCGCATGGCATAAGGTGTGAGCACCCATGCATCACTTTAGTGAGGTTACCACCATTTTCATCAGAACAAGCATGAGAACACAAGCATTGCCTCACATAAATTTGTATCATCATCAACTAAGACCTTGGAGCATAAGAGATATTACAAAATAATACAACAATCCAACCAGCTATTAATCATCAACAAATCGGTCCCAGTACCTCACAAGGTCGAAGTAAATTGATGAATACATGGTTATAGGTTAATCATCACTTGCAGTTCTTCCCACGTTTAACAATGTCAAAGATGAGCACCAACAACATGACTGAACCATGCAAAGAAGAAGTAGCCAAAATGCTTTGGCAACGACAGTGGTAGCAGGCTTCACAAGAACTTTTTCATCTTCACAACCCTTGAATTGCCTCTTCTTTGCTAGGGAACACACAACCAGTTACCTGGGCATGGCAACACAGAAGGCAACATAGGAGACAACACACATCATAAGTGGTTAACAGATTAGCCTCAGATAACAGTTCTTCCTCGGTTGACCTTGAGCTTGGAGCATAAGCAACACAGAAGGCAACACACAACAATAATGGTAAGAAACAAACATGAAAACCAATAAGAACTAGACTAGAGTTCCAGTACCTCACAAGCTCAAGGTCATCAGGTTTTTGTAATCCAGTACACATGGCAGTTTAGTTATCATCATAGGCTTGACAAGAATATCAAAGACAGTTAATTACAAAGAAAATAATTGGAACCCAATGTCAGGAAAGCCACGAGGAGCAAGCAAAAATTCAGACCGACTATCTTTGACTAGACGCGGCTGCCACACCCAAGGGTGCTCCTCCAGTGCATAGGGTTACAAAACCAAAATCATCGACATAGGCACTATGCTCAGTTTATAAATTGAAGTAGACATCATCATATGCATGGATCTAGAGTAAACCACATATGTACAGCAAAAAAAGTTAGCCGTACCATAGATCTGAGCGAGGAACTAGAGGGAAACAATTACAAACAAGTAGATCAGGAATAGCAGGTCATAGATCTGAGTATGTAAGAACAAGAATCCTAGAATCATGGCACAGGATCAAACAAAATCCGCACATAAATCAACAAAAGCGCTGCACGTAGAGGAAGAGGAGAGAGGCACAGGTGAGGTATGCCGTCGCGGCACTGGAGGACCACCACGAATCCACCGGTCAAGGTCGACTTCGGCGGTCAACCGAGATCGAGGGGGAGAAAGAGGAAAGGCGAACCAGAGCAATGGAGCAAGGAGAGGCGCGAAATGGGGGGCGGTAACCCTAGCTAACACGCCTGGACAGGGGCATCTCCCGCGCTCGCCCGAGACATTCCCGCCAAGCATCGAGTTGTCCTGCATTGAGAGGGAAGTGGAAATCGAGAAGACGGAGGCGTGCGGATGGTGGAGGGCAGAGGAACGAGACCGAGCAGGTGAAAGGTGCGAGGAGGGGAACCAAACACGCCGCTGGAACGAGGCCAGACAACTAAATGGTGCGGGGATGGCTCGGTTCGTTCTACCAATCAGACCCTTTGTGCTTTCTTAGACGGCACCAACGCGGCTCGTGGTGGCCAATGATGATACCGAGAGTTCGTTCCGTAGGGATCCAGATTCTCGTAAACACGTTTCAGATCTAGATTCTCTCAAAAAAATGTTTTAGATGATGAATCAGAATTACTTTGTAAAATCGTTTGGCTAGGTTCTGATTCTAAAAAGCATTTTGTTTAATAAAAAAATTAAATAAATAAAATACGCTTCATAAAAATCTAGAATTTTTTTTGGGCAAAGAGCAACTTATATACAACTCATTTTAACTCATTGCATTTAAAAAGTATTAACTGAAAAAAAAACAATTGCTAATGCAAAGGAGCACTCCAAAACTATAGACGTCACCCTTGGTTGATATCTCTTTGCTCATGCCATACTCTGCATGTTTGTTTGCAGACAAAATAAGTTAGAGATAATTCACATTTTTATGATCCTATAAGAAAAAACAGAATAAACTACTTACAAATAAGCTCATCTCACCCGGAGGGATGTATCCAATGGATCCTTTCAGGCAAGACAAACTTGTTGAACTATCTTGAAATGCATGTGATGTAGCATATAACATCCTTGCTAAGCCAAAGTCACTGACATATGCAGCCATGTCAAGGTCAAAAAGGATATTACTTGGCTTCAATTGGCAGTGTATTAGTGGATGCGCACATTGGTTATGAAGGTAATCCAAAGCACATGCTACATCCAATGCTATATTGGTTCTTTGAAAGAAAGTCAGAATATTTCTTTCACTGTGTTCATGGACCCTTGGATGTAACCACATATCCAGGTTACCATTCGGCATGTACGGGAAGACTATGGCCTTGAAATCTGCTCCAGTCGGGTCCACTGAGGAGCATAAAGTAATTATTTTAACAAGATTTTGGTGGCGGATATTTTTTATGGCATCACACTCTGCAAGGAAGCTCCTATGTGCCCCATATGTGCTGAGGTTAAAAATCTTGATAACCATGGTACAATGTTTTTCTCTCATAATAAATCAGCGTACAATACTTTTCAGCCTGACTTTTTAGCGAAACGAACAGGGCCAACTTGCTCTTATAAACCATTCCAAATGAACCAGTGCCAATTAAGTTAGCAGAAGAGAACATATCTGTTGCCTTTTCAATATCTTTATATGTTATGTTTTCCTTGTGCTCTTCGTGGTGCTGCAAATATTTCTTTACTTGAATTTTCTTTCTCCAAAAGAATGTCACGAGACGGAAGCAAGTGATTGATTTGTACCAGTGACTTGTGTTTCCTTGTCCTGTTATCCATTGCTGGACAAAGAGACACACCTCCTGTCAGAACTCTTGTACACAATTCATCATTTCCTTCAATTGAAACTGCACTAGCATTGCCAAAAATACCACCACTTGGAACTGCCCCACTAAAACTGTTGAAGGATAAATTGAGTTGAGGCAGAGAACTCAAGTTTTGGAAGAAATCTGGGGTGTTTCCAGACGATCTGTTCTCAGAAATGTCAATCTATCGATTCTTCTCAAATTCACTAAAGTCTCTGGAATGCTTCCTTCAAAGAAGTTGCTTGGCATCTCTAGATACTCAAGAGCCACACACATGCCGATAGTGGATGGGATGATGTAGCCAGACAACATGTTGTTTGTGATGCTATGTTTTTTCAGATTAATGAGATTGCCAACTTCCTCTGGTATTCCTCCGGTCAACGAATTATGTGACAAGTCAAATTCTTCAGAAAGCGAAGAAATTTTGAAGATTTTACTTGGTATAGT